TATATTATGCAAATGATCTCCCGTACCGACTTGAATCTGTGAGTATTGAGTTTATTGGTAGGGGGGTAGATTGAGCCCATGAGCGAGAGCGCCATCTGTCGTGGAGTTTGGGTCAAGAGTCTGTGGGAGGGTGGCCGTCAACACCGCTCCCGCGTTGATTGCTCAATCTTCGTATAGGGTACGTGCCGCGTACAGTTCTCCACAAATCTATGATCGCGGGAGCAAGCACACGCGAGAAGAGTGGTGCGTTATATTAGACGCTGCAGAGGCAAAATGACGCTCTCTCTTCTCTCTGTAGACGTAATTTTATCCAAGTGGTGCATAGAATGGAAAGGGGGAATGGGAACGCAGGAAGACGTATTGGGGGCACGCACACGTTTATCTCAGCCGTATGTATCAAAACAGCGGTGCGTATCGGCATGCATCACGTCAGTGGTTTCGTCAACATCTCCGCCGAGCTGTTGGAAGGAGGACGCTGAAAAGGTATCGAGCGACGCGTAGCTTAGCGTGGTCGCAAACCGTGAAAAAACACTGCGCTCGTGGACTGATTGAGATGAATGAATCACGAATACCCTTGAACTTACACAACAGCAAGACAACATCTATCTATCTATCTATATATATTTAACGATCTATCGATCGATCTATCTGTCCATCTATCTATCCATCTATTGATCGATATATGTATATCCTTTATATACAGCGACGTCGTGTACGTTGCGTGTGTGCGTGTGTGCACCTTGTGCGCGCACACACGCACACTCCCTCTATCACAAAACTCATCTAACTGAAATCGCCGCGAACGTTGACCAAATTGAGTAAAAAAATATGAATAAAGAAAAACTCATCGATTTAGCAGACCTGACACGTGTCAGACCTTACGAGGATACGATAAAACACTACTCTACGCTAATTCACAATAATTCCCTCGCCGTTTAGCACCGCAAAGGAAATGGAGCCTTGCTATAGAACAGCCTGAGAAGGAACAGATGTTTGACAGTCGGGAAATATTCAGACGTTCGGCTGCGTTGAGATCAAGACGAAAGCGAATTTCGAACGCTGGGAAACGCTTAGCCGCGACGAGAGAAGTATTGTAGTGCGAAAGTGTGAAGACTTCAGGTTTTCGTAGGTCGACAGCGTAGAAGGTAGCAGCGTTGATAGCAGAGGTAGTTGTTTCACTTGGACTTTATTACAAACTCGAACACATACAAAATATATATATATACGTACGGCTACCTAACTAGGTCCTGTCGTCTCTGTTTCCGTCGCTACATCCTGAATGACTCACGTACGTCTCCTCGTAGGTAAACTCTGTAACTCGGTCTCTAGCTCGTGTCTCCCCGAGCGTCTATTTATACGCTTCTTAAAGCGCCCGGACGCCCCACAATCCAAACCAGTTTTTCCCCGCAACTTCTACTATTAGTGACATATTAACGCGCAATTGTCTGTAATCATTAGGGTGCATGGTGGGGCTACGTATATATATACGAGCATACGTCCCATGTTATTACCAAAACAACAATAACTAGCCAGGGTTAGAAGTATAGACGCAAGCCCTAATTAGCCGTAGTCCTACAATACAACAGAAGAATAGGGGATCCGAGTTATGTTAATGCATACGTCATGTTCTCAAAGAGCTACGCGGTGTGCTGAATAGACAGACGCGGGCGACCAAGGCAGTCGAGGCTGTTCGGTCTGCATGAAGCATGGAGAAGCAAGCAACGACGCGGGAATCACCGAATGTCTCCGTCTGCAAAGTCGTTTGGCAGATCTACGACATACACACACGCGCGCGCACACACATACACACACACACACACACATACTCAGCGCGCGCACACACACACACACACACACACACACACACACACACACACACACACACACATACACACACACAAACACACGCACACACATACTCACGCGCGCACACACACGCGAACACGCACGCACACACGCACGAACGCGCACGCACACACGCACGAACGCGCACGCACACATACGCACGCGCGCACACACACACGCACGCGCGCACGCGCGCACACACGCACGTACGCACGCGCGCACACACACATGCACGTACGCACGCGCGCACACATACACGCACGTACGCACGCGCACACACACACGCACGTACGCACGCGCGCGCACACACACACGCACGCACGCGCGAGCACACGCGCACGCGCACGCACACGCACACACACGCGCACACACCATAATTATGTTACTGTCAAAAATCTTCGTCGTCCCACGTTCGCGCATATTTGTGCTTGTTAGAGTTGTTATGCCACCAACATCAGCAATGCAGATGAAGCGGCTGGATTTTTACATCTTTCCCGTCCATGTACAAAATGAGCTATTTCATCGTCCGTTGGCAGAGGGCCTTTGGGATTACGTCCTAATTAAACTTTAGCGTTAACTCGCGTGTTTCAACGTTCTTTTACCAAGCGAATTGATTTTGAAATGATGGGGGGCAGTTATTTTCGGACGCAGGACTAGAACATTTTAAATATCTTGGAACCGGAAAATACGAGATAGATTTTTAGTGATTCAAGAATAGAGGTTACCCGAGACGCGGGAGTACGACTAAGCGGACCCCTGTAAAAGTTTTTTTCACCTGGAGCACTGGGAATGGACGCCACAGCACCCACCCACCGACACGCACGCACGCACACACCGTTCCCCTCTGCAGACGGTTTCCACATGATTTGTGGATGCGCAGACACGAGCATTATACCCACGCTCCTATTTCATCTAAAATGAAAGTGTCAATGACACTGTAGCTCACCACAAAAAAAGACAAATGAGTGAGTGAGAAGAAGTCAGTTTTAATTGAGCAACCATCGACGTACATTATCGAAACGAAGAGTATATATGGGAGAACTCCCATTATATACTCTTGATAATTATGTGTAAGTTTTTATGTGAAAATAAATGTTTGAGATGTGAAAGTCTGAGATGAGGGCGAGTGATGGCGTTATACCTAAATGATCGACATTTAACGTTTTTATAATATTCAGATTTAGGGTTAAGGCCTAAAAGCGGAGCTCCCGATGTGTAACGTGTAAGATTGAGAGGATACGCTTATTCCACGTAGCTGCTATATACCACGTGACAATGGTGTTTCCTTGCCCATAACACAACTTTTGTCAAAAGTTAATTGGTTGCATGAAAGTGTTTACTTCGTATGAGTTTTTCTAGGCGGTAGCACACGGTTGCCATCCGTATATCGCAATAATTTATAAACCAAAATAAATCACAATTTGTGACGGTAGATGGCGCTATACCCGCTTTGATGTTTCTTAGCGATGGCGTTCGAAATAAATAGGTTATGCTGCGTTCCGACATGTTTTGTAAAACTTTACTCTATTATAGACATTTTATCCGCAGGGTGGAGAGGAAATACCAATTTTGCATTAAAGATATTGTCAATGAAATCTTGTAAAACGAACCAGACGAGTGTGACACCACAGACTGTTATATGCGTGACTATAACATAATATGCTATATAATTGCCAAACCCTACCTAATTTGCATAATTTTTTTTTAAACATCAAAACCCCTAGCCCTTATTCATTCACATACCAAAAATGAGCAAAATCCGTTGAACCTGAACTGACTAATGGCAATTCCCATTTTTGCCAAAAAAATTGCCGTGGCTCGAAAGTACGTCGACTGGCGTGCTTCAAAATAGGACGTTTAATATGGGAGCATAGCAGTAACAACTCTACCCAATTTCAAACATGTGGGTCAAACGGTTCCTGAGTTATCGTTGACCGTAGCGAAATATTGATAGACGGACGGACGGACGGACGGACGGACGAACGGACTGACGTACGACGGACGACGACCCATGGCAATAGCTCAGCTTGACGATGTCAAGGTGAGCTAAAAACTACGAAATTTGTTTAATCTTCTCCATTAAATGATCACGTGAGTAATGGAAAAAGAAAATATTCGTAACCGTAGAATTAAGAGTCGAGTGGCAGCAGAAAGTATTTTCAATTTACCTTTAAATCAACTAAAAACACCAATACGGAATTTTTTGGTTTTGGTGAGTATAACAATTTTCTATAGATGATCAGAAGATCTCAAGGTCTGGTTCACATGTTTTTTTTTTGTAGGTAATTCAATTTTGTGCATTCAAAGGCATAGTACGCGAATGCTCTGATGAACTGGTACACGGTATATTTGCATTCAGATCACTTTTCATTATTCCGACCGGACATCTTCCGCCCAATGGAAAAATCACCCGCGATGCATAAATATTTTAGTTGGCAATTTGCCTGAGATCAGGATTAATATGTGTAGTCGGATAGACATCTAAATAAAATATAGAAACACTTCGCTTGTAGTGAATAGCATTAGCAACCTTTTATTCGATAGATTCTTAATGATTGTAATGGGGAAGTCAGTGAACGGTTCGACCAAGACCCGCAACACCACTGACGCATCGAAGCTAGGAAAGCTGAGAGGCAAAGCCTGAGCCGGAATTACTCACTATATTTGAACGACCTTCTTTCCCACAGCAACTTGGAGCGTTTCAATAAAATATAATGCTAAATAAACACGAAATCTATTTACTACCAAAGTCTTAATATTTCTCTACTCTTTCGCCTATTATTGCCGACAATCCTGTAAATTCCGTGTAAATGCTTCTCTGCAACACACATGTACACCGCACGCACGCTGCCGCACACTGACACATAAATATAGAGAAATAAAAATAAGATCTCTATTTAATTATCGGCAATAATAGGCGAAAGAGAGTAGAGAAACATTAATACTTTGGTAGTAAATAGATTTCGTATTTATTTAGCATTATATTTTATTGAAACGCTCCAAGTGCCTGTGTTCTTTCCCCCCGTAGAAGCTGCTGCTGTTACCCGTGACTGCGTTTCCTTACACCTTTATGCAACAATCCAATATGGAGAGTCTATCGACTGATGTCTGATGACTCGTCTGCACTCCCAAAGCAACAAAAAAAACATGCAACACTCGCCTGCTTACATTTATTCTCTTTGATATACATATGCTATGCACTGCATACCATTGATAATATCCACGAAAAAAAAGAAAAGATCGACCATGGTAAATGGTTTTCTTTAGAAGAGTTCTCTGCTTGGGCTTACCCATTTATACGCTAATAGCATAACCACAGTTAAGACTTCTAGTGTACTTCCTGTGCCATATTTCGTCACAAATTCCATTCATATTCAATAGACCCAAATCCCAAAGAGTGCCCGCATGTATACAATTAGCAGTAAAATAATAATTGATTAAAACTGCGTAATGTGGGGAGGAAAGTCAAAAATCAAAACAAATCGTGTGACTCACCATCATCACAAGTTTTACGACAGATAACAACGCCGATCGTCGAGTTATACCAATACAACTAAACCGAGCGGACGGCAAATTAACACGTGCCGACAGAAGCGTGAATCCTTGCTGGGTGGTCATTGTCACGCTGAGGGTGGGTGAGTGTTATTGCTTGCTTCACTGCGCAGGCATGGAAGCAAACAAGTCTGCCATGAACGTGTCACTTATATCGCCTAGTACTCCTGTGTCGACAAAAACAGAAAAGAAACACGTTAGTCTGACTGCCGAAACCGTACGCCCGTTGTCAGTAACAAAATTCAGTCGTTCAACACTAGTTTGACGTGACATTTTGTTTTTACGTAAAGTTATGAGGTTTAGTAGAATTTAAATCCGACTAAAACAAATGTGTAATTCTCATAACTTTACGACGCTTCTGTCAACGGTCTAAGAGAAAAGATTATTACTAAGACTAATGTTACGATGAATTTTGTTTTCGACACACGGGCCACAGGCCGACTCAGCAAAACGCCACAGCGTCCCACAACCACCGACTTCGACCGCGTCTCTGCGAATATATACTCAGCAAGCAATCTTTTATTTACCCACCAGTAATTTATTACACTTCTAATCATCATCTATCAACTTATCTATCAAACTTATCGCTACTACCAGGATGCTAATGAGGACGATACGAGAGAAGAGTTGGGTGCAATAATTCTGCAGCCGAAAATCATTCTGCAATGCAAATTCGAGAGACGCGCATTTTCCCTGTTTTTCGCCTGGACGAAGTGTGCGCAACAAACACAAGGAAATCAGTGAGCGGAATAAACGCAATGGAAATCTCCACGAAAATTCATTCGTTCACGCTCGCATTTTCCTCCTCCCCCCCCCACGCGACATTTAAAACTGCGTGCCTTCACCACGACCCTTCTACTCGTAACAAAAAAACATCGCAAAAAAAAACATTGCGAGGCTCGTCCTCAGTTTTCCCATCGATTCTTCCTCAACCCCCCTCCTCTCCCCCGCCACCCCCATTCACCGCCCGCACCCGACATAATATTCCATTCTATCTCGTTTTAATGTGTGCATGTGTAAAAAGCAATTGGATTACACGTGCGAGTGTCGGATTACAAGGCGCGCGTGCGTTGTTGTGTACGCGGCGGCGGCGGCGTAACCATGGCAACTGACCGAGCACGTCGTAGAACTCTGTGCAGGACTCGCAAGGCAGCATCTCCTCCTGAAACGTCGTCAGGACGGTGTCGGCAGCCTCCAGCAGCACGGCGTCGCCCTGCCGGATGTACTCGGCGACGCTCGTCGGCCAGTCACTGCCTTCCCTCACCGACACCTGCAGTACGCACACACACAGATAGTTACACGCACGCACATACACATACACGCACGCACGCACGCACGCACACACGCACACACACACGCGCACACACATACACACACAGATACACTCACGCACACACAGATACATACACAAAGGCACACACACACACACACACACACACACACACAC